TAGATGACCAAAAGCTGCAATGGCAGGTCATATGACTAAGACCCGCGTCAGGAAATAACTGACCTGTCTCCTGACGAATCTTACCTAACCTAGCCTCTCACTCATCCACTTTGTAACTACTCTCAGACTGAAGAACTAGTTCGACAACCTTGTAACGCATCTGCGCATTAACTTCTATCTCTTCCTCCTTGTTACATTTCCACCCCTTTGTATGTCTGTCTGTCACAATGAGTCCTCTTGGTATCTTGTACGTTTTGGTCATATCTTCCCTGGTTATTCTCTCCTGTCAAGTTAAAAGTCTTAGTTCTTATAAGCCTGTGGTGAACCTCAGGCCTTCCTCTACCTGCCTCTGGACACACATGATCAGGTATGATCAACATTACAGAGGTACATAATGGGTCCAGGGACTGGACTCCAAAGTTTTGATAGCTGAACAAATTACGAAGGTAATGGGACGGAGTGTTATGTGAGGGTATATTATATGACTGAAAAATATCCTTCGTAATAGATGTATCCATTATTTTTCAAACTGTCGCATACATCACAGTAGCTGAACAATACCGTTGTACTACTGTGATATACATCACAGTAGCTGAACAATACTGTTGTACTACTGTGATATACATCACAGTAGCTGAACAATACTGTTGTACTACTGTGATATACATCACAGTAGCTGAACAATACCGTTGTACTACTGTCATATACATCACAGTAGCTGAACAATACCGTTGTACTACTGTGATATACATCACAGTAGCTGAACAATACCGTTGTACTACTGTCATATACATCACAGTAGCTGAACAATACCGTTGTACTACTGTGATATACATCACAGTAGCTGAACAATACCGTTGTACTACTGTGATATACATCACAGTAGCTGAACAATACTGTTGTACTACTGTCATATACTTCACAGTAGCAGAACAATACCGTTGTACTACTGTCACATACATCACAGTAGCTGAACAATACTGTTGTACTACTGTGATATACATCACAGTAGCTGAACAATACTGTTGTACTACTGTCACATACATCACAGTAGCTGAACAATACTGTTGTACTACTGTGATATACATCACAGTAGCTGAACAATACTGTTGTACTACTGTCACATACATCACAGTAGCTGAACAATACCGTTGTACTACTGTCACATACATCACAGTAGCTGAACAATACTGTTGTACTACTGTCACATACATCACAGTAGCTGAACAATACTGTTGTACTACTGTGATATACATCACAGTAGCTGAACAATACTGTTGTACTACTGTGATATACATCACAGTAGCTGAACAATACCGTTGTACTACTGTGATATACATCACAGTAGCTGAACAATACTGTTGTACTACTGTGATATACATCACAGTAGCTGAACAATACCGTTGTACTACTGTCACATACATCACAGTAGCTGAACAATACTGTTGTACTACTGTGATATACATCACAGTAGCTGAACAATACCGTTGTACTACTGTCACATACATCACAGTAGCTGAACAATACTGTTGTACTACTGTGATATACATCACAGTAGCTGAACAATACTGTTGTACTACTGTGATATACATCACAGTAGCTGAACAATACTGTTGTACTACTGTGATATACATCACAGTAGCTGAACAATACCGTTGTACTACTGTCACATACATCACAGTAGCTGAACAATACCGTTGTACTACTGTCACATACATCACAGTAGCTGAACAATACCGTTGTACTACTGTCACATACATCACAGTAGCTGAACAATACTGTTGTACTACTGTCACATACATCACAGTAGCTGAACAATACTGTTGTACTACTGTGATATACATCACAGTAGCTGAACAATACCGTTGTACTACTGTCATATACTTCACAGTAGCTGAACAATACCGTTGTACTACTGTCACATACATCACAGTAGCTGAACAATACCGTTATACTACTTTTAACATGTTGTTGTGTAGTAATGTGCGCGACAACAGTCACGGTGAGCAAGAATGTTCATATTTACAATGTAAATTTAACTTATACTTTAAACCACATGACCATCATAGCGCTTGAAATGTAAACAAAAAATATTATTAATAATATATACATGGTGAAGCACACAGTCTGGAGGTAACGTTTTACCCAAGAAAGAGGAGTGTAATTCAGATTCTTCGGATCAAAAGCACTTCACCAGTAATAAGACGCCTCTCCTAGATTGATAAAAAAAAATATTTTAGCAGCCCCAATGGAAATATCATAATGATGTCATTGCTTCGACTAGATTAAATTTTATATTATGTACTGTGCTCACCTAATTGTGGTTGCAGGGGTCGAGACTCAGCTCCTGGCCCCGCCTCTTCACTGACCGCTGCTAGGTCCTCCCTCTCCCTGCTCCATGGCTTTATCATACCTCGTCTTAAAACTATGTATAGTTCCTGCCTCCACTACATCGCTTGCCAGACTATTTCACTTCCTAACTACTCTATGACTGAAGAAATACTTCCTAACATCCCTTTGACTCATCTGAGTCTTCAGCTTCCAATTGTGACCCCTTGTTTCTGTGTCCCATCTCTGGAACATCCTGTCACTGTCCACAATGTCTATTCCACGCAGTATTTTATACGTCGTTATCATGTCTCCCCTGACCCTCCTGTCCTCCAGTGTCGTCAGACCGATTTCCCTTAACCTTTCTTCATAGGACATTACCCTTAGCTCTGGAACTAACCTTGTTGCAAACCTTTGCACTTTTTCTAATTTCTTGACGTGTTTGACGCCTCTGTGTGTGTGTGTGTGTGTGTGTGTGTGTGTGTACTCACCTAGTTGTACTCACCTAGTTGAGGTTGCGGGGGTCGAGTCCGAGCTCCTGGCCCCGCCTCTTCACTGATCGCTACTAGGTCACTCTCCCTGAGCCGTGAGCTTTATCGTACCTCTGCTTAAAGCTATGTATGGATCCTGCCTCCACTACATCGCTTCCCAAACTATTCCACTTACTGACTACTCTGTGGCTGAAGAAATACTTCCTAACATCCCTGTGATTCATCTGTGTCTTTAGCTTCCAACTGTGTCCCCTTGTTACTGTGTCCAATCTCTGGAACATCCTGTTTTTGTCCACCTTGTCAATTCCTCTCAGTATTTTGTATGTCGTTATCATGTCCCCCCTATCTCTCCTGTCCTCCAGTGTCGTCAGGTTGATTTCCCTTAACCTCTCCTCGTAGGACATACCTCTTAGCTCTGGGACTAGTCTTGTTGCAAACCTTTGCACTTTCTCTAGTTTCTTTACGTGCTTGGCTAGGTGTGGGTTCCAAACTGGTGCCGCATACTCCAATATGGGCCTAACGTATACGGTGTACAGGGTCCTGAACGATTCCTTATTAAGATGTCGGAATGCTGTTCTGAGGTTTGCTAGGCGCCCATATGCTGCAGCAGTTATTTGGTTGATGTGCGCTTCAGGAGATGTGCCTGGTGTTATACTCACCCCAAGATCTTTTTCCTTGAGTGAGGTTTGTAGTCTCTGACCCCCTAGACTGTACTCCGTCTGCGGCCTTCTTTGCCCTTCCCCAATCTTCATGACTTTGCACTTGGTGGGATTGAACTCCAGGAGCCAATTGCTGGACCAGTTCTGCAGCCTGTCCAGATCCCTTTGTAGTTCTGCCTGGTCTTCGATCGAGTGTATTCTTCTCATCAACTTCACGTCATCTGCAAACAGGGACACCTCAGAGTCTATTCCTTCCGTCATGTCGTTCACAAATACCAGAAACAGCACTGGTCCTAGGACTGACCCCTGCGGGACCCCGCTGGTCACAGGTGCCCACTCTGACACCTCGCCACGTACCATGACTCGCTGCTGTCTTCCTGACAAGTATTCCCTGATCCATTGTAGTGCCTTCCCTGTTATCCCTGCTTGGTCCTCCAGTTTTTGCACCAATCTCTTGTGTGGAACTGTGTCAAACGCCTTCTTGCAGTCCAAGAAAATGCAATCCACCCACCCCTCTCTCTCTTGTCTTACTGCTGTCACCATGTCATAGAACTCCAGTAGGTTTGTGACACAGGATTTCCCGTCCCTGAAACCATGCTGGCTGCTGTTGATGAGATCATTCCTTTCTAGGTGTTCCACCACTCTTCTCCTGATAATCTTCTCCATGATTTTGCATACTATACATGTCAGTGACACTGGTCTGTAGTTTAATGCTTCATGTCTGTTTCCTTTTTTAAAGATTGGGACTACATTTGCTGTCTTCCATGCCTCAGCAATCTCCCTGTTTCGATAGATGTATTGAATATTGTTGTTAGGGGTACACATAGCGCCTCTGCTCCCTCTCTCAATACCCATGGGGAGATGTTATCTGGCCCCATTGCCTTTGAGGTATCTAGCTCACTCAGAAGCCTCTTCACTTCTTCCTCGGTTGTGTGCACTGTGTCCAGCACTTGGTGGTGTGCCCCACCTCTCCGTCTTTCTGGAGTCCCTTCTGTCTCCTCTGTGAACACTTCTTTGAATCTCTTGTTGAGTTCTTCACATACTTCCCGGTCATTTCCTGTTGTCTCTCCTCCTTCCTTCCTTAGCCTGATTACCTGGTCCTTGACTGTTGTTTTCCTCCTGATGTGGCTGTACAACAGTTTCGGGTCAGATTTGGCTTTCGCTGCTATGTCATTTTCATATTGTCTTTGGGCCTCCCTTCTTATCTGTGCATATTCATTTCTGGCTCTACGACTGTTCTCCTTATTCTCCTGTGTGTGTGTGTGTGTGTGTGTGTGTGTGTGTGTGTGTGTGTGTGTGTGTTTGTGTGTGTGTGTGTGTGTGTGTGTGTGTGTGTGTGTGTGTGTGTGTGTGTGTGTGTGTGTGTGTGTGTGTGTGTGTGTGTGTTTGTGTGTGCATTCGTGCGTGCGTGCGTGCGTGCGTGCGTGCCCAAAACGCCTGTGTACCGCCAAACTATTGTAGAAAAAAAAATTATACCTATTTTCGAAACCCAAATAAAAACTGACTTCTATTTTTGTACCAGCGCGACACCATCAAAGAAAACGACATTCTCATCTGGATCTACAACATGATAGATGAGGCTGCCAGGGTAGACTTCGAGTTCTTCCTTAAAGACGGTTGTATCCTCTGCAAGTAAGTTAACAAACTTTATATATATATATATATATATATATATATATATATATATACATATATATATATATATATATATATATATATATATATATATATATATATATATATATATATATATATATATATATATATATATATATATATATATATATATATATATATATATATATTTATATATATAATATATATATATTGATTTGAAGCAGTATTAATCAATTTAAACTGACTTATGCTATACTGGCATAATTTACCTAAACAAATACACTTGTTTAAGTTAAGTTATGTTAGGTTTTTAAGTTAGGTTTAGTAAAAAAAAATAAGTGAAACATTTTATATCATTGTCAATGAAAAAAAAAACATCTATCAGTCTGTCAAAATTCAGTGTCAGATTCAGCCCTTGATAAGAATTCTTACTTATTATCCATGAACAATGCAGTGTAATTTACAAGGGTGCACAGCTGGTGAACATTGCTGAGACCCTGCGGGTAGTATGCTCGTAGCAGTATTGTGAGTAAATATTTGTGGGTGTGGATATCTTGGCTCGGTTTCACCTTGTGTTACCAAGTTTGTTCCACATTTTTATTTTCGGTTATATTTCGCTTTTAACTCTTGGTCGCGCGCTAGTTCCGGGTCAGATAAATTTATGGAATGTTGTCGCAAATAAAAATGAACTGTAAGTGACATCAGGTTTATGGCTAGTACGAGACGTCAGATGGAGGCTGCTGATGGCTCCCTGGTAACACCATCTCACAACCAAACCTTGAAGAGCTGTGACGTTGGGCATGTTTCCTTGCACTTTCCTGTTTACCTAGCAGTAAGTAGGTACCCCATGTTCTCACCTAGTTGAGGTTGCAGGGGTCAAATCCTAGCTCCTAGCGGACTATTGTGAGTCAGAAAAAGAAGAATAATGGAAATATGTCACCCTGACTGGCTTTCTTAGGTTATCCTGGCTTACTAATTCTCCGGGTTAATAACCCAGATAAAGTCTTCTTGTATGAGAGGAGGCTTTTGAAGGTACTCCCAGAAAACATGTCTTTACAACTCACTTACATGTACAAGCGAAAGTTTCATACAAGTATATATACAAAACTATTAATAAAAAAAGGCATAAGTAGGCATATGTACGAACAAGTACATGTGGAAAACGTAAGGAAATTAAAACTATATCAGAGTATAAAACAAATTCCATCTACACAATAGAACGAAAAACTAATGTAAAAGACCTGGGAGTGATCATGTCGGAGGATCTCACCTTCAAGGACCATAACATTGTATCAATCGCATCTGCTAGAAAAATGACAGGATGGATAATGAGAACCTTCAAAACTAGGGAGGCCAAGCTCATGATGACACTCTTCAGGTCGCTTGTTCTATCTAGGCTGGAATATTGCTGCACACTAACAGCACCTTTCAAGGCAGGTGAAATTGCTGACCTAGAAAATGTGCAGAGAACCTTCACGGCGCGCATAACGGAGATAAAACACCTCAATTATTGGAACGCTTGAAGTTTCTCAACTTGTATTCCCTAGAACGCAGGCGGGAGAGATACACGATTATATACGCTTAGAAAATCCTAGAGGGATTAGTACGAAACTTGCACACGAAAAAGACTTGGCAGACGATGCAACATCCCCCATTGAAAAGCAGGGGTGTCACTTGCACGATAAGAGACGAAGGCAATAAGTGTCAGGGGCCCGATACTGTTCAACTGCCTCCCAGCATACATAAGGGGGTTTACCAATAGACCCCTGGCTGTCTTCAAGCAGGCGCTAAACAGGCACTTAAAGTCAGTACCTGACCAGCCGGGCTGTGGTTCGAACGTCGGGTTGAATGCGACCAGCAGTAACAGCCTGGTTGATCAGGCCCTGATCCACCATGAGGCCTGGTCACAGACCGGGCCAGAGGGGCGTTGACTCCCGAAACCCTCTCCAGGTATACAAGTGTGCAGACCCACGGAGCTGTTTACAAACCCATCGTGTTCAAAAATTCACGTTGTTTATAGGCTCATGTTCATTGATTTATGTAGTTGTTCATTGAACCAGGGAGTTGATTACACCATAGGAGGCCTGGTCACGGACCGGGCCGCGGGGGCGTTGACCCCCGGAACTCTCTCCAGGTAAACTCCAGGTAAATAACAGATACTGAGAGATAACTGTAAACACAGACAGGGACCCAATGTTTGAACTGGGAGGAAATACAGACGGAAAACTAAAAGGTCACTTCAGCCAAAGGGACATTTGAGAGAATTAAATATATCAGGACATTAGCTGGAAGCTGCCTTTATAAACACACACACACACACACACACACAACGGGGCCAGGAGCTGAGTATCGACCCCTGCAACCACAATTAGGTGAGTGCACACACACACACACAAGTACAGTCAAAAGTGAGCGACCTATTAAGACAGGACAAAAGGATGTCATAGGATAGGAGGAGAAGGGGAGACATGATTACAACATACAAGATACCTAGGAACTTAAAGCTGACAGATACAGGTTGTTTGAAAGGCGGGACTATAGGATAAGATGATATAAATGGAGGTTAAAACCACAATTAACCAACAGAGGCATCAATAAATATTTCTATAGCCTCAGAGAGAGTATCCAAAGTGGAATGTCTTGCAATGGAAGTCGCTAGAGGTAGATTTCATACAGAGCTGGAAGAGTAGGTATGACAGGACCCACGGCACTAGAAATTAGTGAATCCGGTTGTGAAGAGCTAAAGTCGTGACGAGCTAAGAGGCGAGGTCTCTGCAGCTACAACAATGTGTGTAGAACTAGGTGAGTAGGTACCCACACACAGGCACACATGCGCATACAAAACTCATGAACAAAAACACGTGAACAAACACAAGCACGCATAACTCCACCCACAAATACACCCTTACTCTTCCCACAAACAGAAAATAAAAATAATATCCCCTTCCCGAGCAGGTTAATGAACCGCATCAAGCCTGGTTGTATCCCCGAAGACAGCATCACGTGGGAGGGCGCGCGTAGCAAGCAGATCAACATACGCAACTTCCTGGAGCAGGCAGAGACGTATGGCGTACCTAAGGCCAAACTCTTCCACGTAGAGGATTTGCTGCACCTCAGACACATTCCCAGGGTCACTAGGTGCATCTACGCCTTGGCCAAGTTGGTGAGTGGGCAGGGAGGGTGGATGGGAGGTTGGGAGGGATAGGGCCAGGGAAAAGAAAGGGTGTGGGGATAAGGGGAAGCGAATGAGTTGGGCGAGGGGAAGGCTGTTCGGGTAGGGAAGATTTTGGGAATGTTGGATGATTATTATGTTCATGGGGAACGACGCGGAAACTGCAAAGGTTATTTGTACCTGACCTGGAGAACTGAAGACGATAGGATTTGATACGGTAAAGGGAAGAGTAGCTCCGAATCCTTGGATCACAAGCATCAAGGCACCTCCCGCGTTAAGGGGCACATAACTTCCCCTGTCTTCCAATAATACGCTCATTTTCCACTATAATCTACCTTGTCCATAATTACTATCGCATTTACTCTGATTCGTAAGGTGAAGTCTGGTATCTTTCCTTAATTCATGGTATAACTTAACAAATCTTTGAGGACAATTGTGTTGCAACACAAGGGTATCTTAATTAAGGGTATTAATATACCCTTTGATTTGTTAAGTTATACCATGAATTAAGGTAAGATTCTAGACTTCACCTTACTAAACAGACAAAGTAATTATGGACAAGGTAGATTATAGTGGAAAAATGAACATGTTATTAGAAGACAGAGGAACTTACATGTAAAGAGTGGGGATGTTGGAAAGGAATAGCATGATAAAGGTTGCTGGGATGAAGATGGGGGACGGAATAGGGAAGGTTGTGGGAAAAGGACTGGGTGTTGGGGGTGGTGGGGGACGGGAGACTGGAGAGGATGGGGGGGGGGAGTGAGGAGTTTCTGTGAGAATAAACAGGATTTTTCCTAAACTGGATGGGAATGGGTTGAATGGGAAAAGGTTGTTGGGGCCGAATAGATCTCTGTTGGGGCGGGGAACGGATGGGATGGTCTCACTGATAAATGATAAATAATGATAACTGGTAAGCCTTATTTCTACAAGGTACAATTTACGATTGATTCAGGGATGGTCAACATTATTGATATACTTTGCAGAAAGTTCCTGGTTATGCAGAACATATTGGCCACCCTTAAAATTAACTTATAACTACTTTTTTTTTTTTTATATTTTATTAACAACTTCATGTACAGAAAAAAAATTTGGGTAAAATATAAAAAAAATGATAAAGGGGGCAACATCAGTTAAAACAATATATAAACCAAAACAACCCGGGGGAAACATCTGACAGTTACAAATATAAAAAGTTTTTTATAACATATCAAAAATTTAAGGGGGAAATTAAATTTAAATAATAAAAAAGGGCCCAAAAATTTGGAAATTAAATTTAAAACTCCAAAAAAATTTACAACCTCCCCCAAAATTTTTTTGCTCCAAGCTTAAGGGACAATCCCCCTTTAATTTACCACTCTCAAACAAATACACCGGGAACATCCCCAATATCCCTTTAAATTTAGAAACCTTTGCTGAAAACCACGGGTTTGGTCCCCATCATCCCCCCCCCCCCCCCCCACACAACACATTAAAAAACAAAACCCCTTTCCCAACCAAAAACCGGGAATTAAACATGCCATTAATTACCTAAATTTAGGTTTTATTATAAACAAATGTCACTTTGGGGAAGAAAATTATTTAAAACCCCATGTATGGTACGGGGGAACTACCAAAAATTACTTTAAACCTTTAAAATTAAAAAACAATAAAAAATTGGTTTAATTACTACCAAAAAAATCGGCCCACGTTACAATAAAACAAAAAAATCCTCAGAGCTTAAAAGGAATTAGTAAAGGGGAAAAAACCCCCCCAAGAATTAAACTTCTTTTGGGAAAATTCCATTTTAAGGGAAAAACAAATACCAAACCCAAAAAAATAACACGTTATAAAAATTTTTTTGGTTTTTACCTTTAATCCCATTTTTTATATTTAAAATTTCCCCTTCCCCTTCCCCATCAAGGGAACAAAGAAAAAATTTTTTCTTGCAAAACCCACTCTCTTTGGGGCCCAAACACTAGTACCCCCCAATAAAACCCCCAAATTCAAAAACCCCACTGCATTCCCAAGGGGGGTTGGGGCCCGTTGAAATCCCTGAACCCCCCCCCCCCCTTTTTTCCAACCCATTTTCCCCCCCGGGGCATTTTAAACCCCCTTTTAAAAAACGCCAATAAAATTCCCCTTTTGTTAGCCCTTTCTAAAACCTTCGGGGAAAAAAAATATTTTCTTCCCACCTTTTTCCCAAAAATGTCTTTTGTTGCGACACAAAGTTCGAAAAAAACGTCGCCGAAAAAAAGGTCCTTTCTCGCCCTTTCCCCACCCCCCTTTCCCCCCTCTTTTCCCCCCATAAAACAAATATGTAGCCCAAAGAGGGACTTTTATGTCAAAAATCCCCTTTTCCCACACTCTCCTCCACACCACTCAATAAAGGGAACTAAAACGCTCGCTTCCCGGCCCAAAAACCTTTGGGGGCCCCCCCCCCCCACCCCCACTACCTTACGCTTCCCATCCCCTTTGATGCACTCCAAACCTTCAAAAAAAAATTAGCGACATGATACCATTTTCTTCCCCACTGCATCTGCCCCCACCCCCCCACCCTCAAAAAAACCTCCGGGTCTGGGAAGCATCGCCCCGTTGGAAAAAACCCCTTGCGGGAAAAAAACGGTAAAAAAACCTCACGCCCCTAGGCCCTTACCCTTTAAATTTTTTACAAAAAACCTTCCCATATTAAAACCCCCATGCTTTCCCAGGGGGTAGTTTCCCTTTAAAAAACCGGGCCCCAAACCCAAAACATGTCCCTCTAACAATTTTCCACCAAAGTTCCTACCTTTCCCTTTTCCTGGTTCCAGGGCTAACTTTAAAGGCGGGGGAAACACTGTCTCGTTTTCCTTTCTTTTCCCCCCCCTTCCATACCTTTTTCCCCTAAGGTGAGCAGTCCCTTATCTACCCTGCCCCTTTCCCTCCATCCCCCTGCATAAAATCCTTCCCTTTTAAAAAAACCCAACACATTTCACGCGTTTTCCCTAAAAGGTCCAACAAACCCACCCCCCCTACTTTACCGGAAAATTTTCACTACCTCCCTCGCCAAATTTGGGCCCCCCTGAACCCCAAAAAAATTTTGGGAAACCCCTTTTCTAAGAATACTCCGTGTTCCCCCGGTTTCCTTTTAAGGGGTCAAAAGCCAAAAAAACAAACCAACTTTACTATATAGAAATTTACATTAAAGACATTACACCCTTGCCAAAGGGGGTTTTAAAGGTGGGGTTTCGAAAGCATTCCCAACCGCCCGTTTCCCCCACCTTTTCCCACCTTTCCAAATTTCGAATTGCAAAACTCCTTGCCACTGGGGTCAGCCTCTTTACAGGGGACCCCGCAAAATTTTCGGGGACTCCCGGTCCTCCGTGCACAACAAAATTCACACCCCCACTTTAATCTCTCTTTTTCCCCAACCTTTTTTCCCAGCCCCATGATCTTTGGGACTTTTCCAGTTTTTACCTTCTTTCCCCCAGAAAGCCCCCCAAAAAAGTTTTGAAAAAATTTCCCCCCAAATTCCAAAAACCGTGTCCCCTTTCACTTGCCAAAATATTGGGTTTTTCTCCAAACCTTTGCCCACCAAACCAGGCCACGGCCCTTCCCACTCACCCTCCCCCCCCCCCGGCCTTAAACGATCCTCCACCATCCTATAAAAAGGGTTTCCGAACACATGCAAAAAAAAATTTTTTGGCAAAAAGGACATCCTGCCGAAGCCCCCCGCTCCATTTTGCCCCCAACCCCCCCACCCCCACCCTTTTGTTTTGCACCCCTTACCTTCGCCATTTGAGAAAACAGCGTACCCAAACCCACCCCCTCATTTCTTCAAAAAACCCCCTTTTCGTGGGAGAATATCCCCAAAGCCTTTCTTTTCCCCCCTATCATTTAAGGGCCCCCTTTCCAATCCAACGCCACCAACGCTCCCCCTTTCCCTTTCCATTTCCCCCGGAAAAACCCCCTTTATAAAACCCCCTGGCCCCGTTCATTGACCTACCAGGTAAACCAAACTGAGGGCTTTAAAAAACGAAACCCCCCCAAAAAACCCATTTAAAACCGATTTCCCCAAGGGGAAATTTTTGCAAAAAAATTTAAAAATCACCAAAAAAAACAATGGGAAAAAGGCTCGATAATCCCGAAAAGGGGACTCCTGTGGTTTTTCCCTTTGGGGGGCCAAAAAACCCCCCACCGCCGTTGCCTTTAAAATTCTCCCAAACTTTTCCCCGTTTTTTTCTGGGGTTTTTATTAAAAACCTTTCTAGGGAACCCCTAAGGGAACCCCAGTGCTGTTTTCTTAAAAAATTTGCTAGGTAAACCATCGAATTTCCCGGGGCCTTACCCTTTCCTCATGTCCCCTAAGGGCTCCCCCAATTTTTTCCCCCTCCCCAAAAGAAAACCCCACCCCGTGGGCCCCCCAAACCCCTCCCCAGTTTTTCAAAGGGGGAAAATACTCCCCCAAAAACCCTTTCCCAAAAAACCTCCCCCATTTTCCCCCCCCCCTACTTTTCCCCCTATTTTTCCCCAAACCATCTATCTTGGGTTTTTGCAACAACCCCTTTGGGGGTCCCCTTTAAAACCTGGGCCCCCTTAAAAACCCCCCCCCAGAAAAAATATTGGGAAAATTGCAAACCTGGTTTTTAGTCTTTTGCTGTCTTTAAACCCTTTGTCCTCGCAGCACACAAAACTTTATTGGGTTTTTCCCCCCAGAGTACTTTTTTTTCTAAAACCCCCCTGTACCCGAACAAACTGAAAAAATTTTTTCTTTGGGAAAAAACCCCCTAATTTTGTTTCCTTTTAACATGTGGGGATTTTTTCCTTTCCCCCCGGGTTTTAAAACCCCGGCCCCCCGCCCCCCCCTAAAACCCAATTTTTTTAAAACTAGAATTTTTTAAGTAATTTGGGAAAAAGCCAATTTCCCCCCAATTGGGTAAAAGCTTTTTTCCCCCCCTTCAAAAATAAAAAAATTTTACGTATTTTTGTTTAAATTAAGGGCCCCCAAAATATTTTCCCCCCAACCCAAAACCCCCG